AAGTTTTTTTCATTCTTAAAATTAATTTTATGACATATTTAAATGTATTTTAAATAAATGTCATTTATCAATTTAAAGTGTCCAATGACAGTGACTGTAATCTGCATTGGCCAATTTTAGTACTGTTTAATTTTTGTAGCAAACTTTTAAAAATAATTTTTGAAACATATTGTAAATTTGTACTTAATTTATTGATAACTTCTATTTTGTCTACACTAATGATTATTTTAGTGTTGATTTCAACCAGTTTTCAAAATCGGATTTTTGTGCTTTGGTTAACTTTTGTTTTATTCTTAAAGTATATTATAATATTTTCACACAGAAAGCTTTTTTACCAAAGAAACTGGATGTCCTGAATATATAGCTTTAAATGTCTACTTTGATATGCTGAACTGTCGTCTTAAAGGTATTTTATTCAGCATGAAATTTAAGCGTCGTATCTAATCGTGTGTCATTATTGACTAACAATGCTATCAGTGTGTCGTTTCCTTTCACAACTTTTAATCCTTTAAGTCAGCAGTACTTTGTTTTTAATGTGTGATCACTTCATGATGATTGCTTTCTAGTTCTGTAGCTTTTCTGAGTAAAATATAAGCATCTAATCATTCTCAAGGAACTTTTAATTGATGATATTCTTCTTTACTTTAATTTTATTGCTTCTCAATTCTCATGCCCTTCAAAGTGAAGTTTAAGCATCTAATCTAACCACTTGGAGCTTTAAATAAATTGATTGTTTCATGAGGATTGCTTTTTGATTCTCATGCCTTTAAGCTTGAAGTCAAGAAGCTATCTAATGGATGGCTTCTTGATTCTCTTCTTGATTGCTTCATGAGGATGGCTTCTTGATTCTCTTTTTGATTGCTTCATGAGGATGGCTTCTTGATTCTCTCTTTGATTGCTACATGAGGATGGCTTCTTGTTTCTTTTCTGAATTGCTTCATGAGAATTGATTTTAGATTCTCATGCCATTCAGCTCGAATTTTAAGTATCTGTCTAACCATTTGTTACTAACTAACAGTGCTATCAGTGTGTTGTCTGTGTTCAAAATTTTCAATTATTCAAGTCAGTGGTACTTTCAATCAATGTTGTTCTTGATTGATTCGAGAATATTGTGTTTCACCCATGTAAGTATGACAGCTAATAATAAAATAAGTTTCTATGTGTGGAATGGATTCTCATTTATTTGTTTCCTAAATGACTGTTACCACCTCAATTATTATGGATAATGTATTCTTCTATATAAGAAAATTTAATGAAATTGTTTGTTTTAAAAGTTTTTGCGACTAGTTTATGTTATAAGCAAACTGCACCAAATATTTTGGTTATTATTAATTGTTCACCAAATTATGTATTCATGTGAAATATAATACTAAAATAAATTCTTCTATCTTTCACAATTTCCATTTAATAAAATTTTTTTGGTTTTGTTGTTTTAAGAGTTCTTTTGATGATCTTTAAATCAAAATATTTTTTATTGTCATGTATGTTTGTTGTGTTTTAGTGTGCTATGATTATTTATTTTGTTTATATTTTTGTACGTTTTGTTTCTTTTTTCAACTCTTATTTTCATTTTTTTTATTTCTATCAACTTGTGATTTCTATGTTTTAAAAATGTTTTTTCAATTTGCATGATTCAAATTGTATGTATTTTTTTTTTTTTAGTTTCAGTATGTAATTTTCTTCTTTATGGTTTTTTGTTGTTATGTTCCATTAACACTAATGTATATTTCAATCATATATTGTATATTTCCTTGTCAATATTGTATTGTTTATAATGTTTAACAAATAAGTAAAAATAGATTTAATTAAATGTTTTTTTTTTTAAATTTTAACATTGTTTTTTTATATTTTTAAAGTTTAATACTTCAGTTTTGCTAAAAAATGTAGTTTGATCTAGCTTAATTTTATACATGAAATTTAAAACTGAAAAAGATTCAGATTTGACTGGCATTTGTATTTAAATATAAATTTGCCTTATTAAAATTTACCTTATTCATCAACAAGTAGACACTCAAGATTTTGTAATAATTTTTAAGTATAATTCATAGTTGTATTCTTATCTTATACATAAAAGTACTGAATTTGCACTTAACATTCTTCATAATTAAACTATTTTTCTCACTTTTTATTTCTGATTATTTTGTGAAATATAGCAACCGACAACTGTTCTTATTCCACCCCTATGTACTCGGATGCACTCACACCACGTACGACAGAGCAAGAAGAAGCTCCCCAAGGAACAATCACACCACTCCCCACTCGCACAATATCACCCGGCTCTGCTTTTTACACCCCCTCACTCGATGCTTACATGGAACCAAAGCTTAATGTCGGAGTTGCACATAGAGGTGTTCCTCAATCTTCATCATTTGATGAGGACTCATACCCTGTGTTTTCACCTCCACCATATCCAGCCATAGCTGAAGCTTTGCAATATTTACCAGAATCCTTGGAACAGAGTGGATATGCATCTATATTGCTACAAAGATATCCAAACCTCCAGCGTTTCATGCCACGTGCTTCGTTTTCATCAACATCAGCACCCTCGACCCACCACGCATGTAATCAGAGCGATTGTTTTGTAGATGGGTTTCAAACACTAATCCAATTTCAAAGTTTTACCTATAATTGGAGTTTTTTAATAATTAAATTTCAAAATATTCAGTCATTTTAAAATTTTGTTTGCTTTTTTTAAAATTAGATCTCATTAGTAACCATGGAAAGGAGAATCGTTAGTACAAATTACCCGTTTCTTTAATTTATTGATGTTTTAATTAAACAGAGTACACTTACACTGTTGTTCTGTTTGTTACTTCATAGGTTCTTTCAAGATATGGAATAGTACTTTTTAGTGAATAAATTTTTTTTTTATAACTGTAGTAGGTTTACGACAGCTATTCATATTTGTTAGGTTAAGTTTTGCCATATTTAGGAAGAAAAAAAGCATTTTGGGTCTAATTTTTTTAAGCTTTATTGTTTGGCCTCATGAAGAAATTCAAAAATTAAAATTATTTATTAATTTGAATAATTTTAGTGTTTGTTAAAAAATTTTGCCAAATAAGTGATTTTTTTAAGTCCTAGTCTTTTAAAGTACTTAGTATTTTTTAAAAACTAGTCTTACAATTCTTGCTTTTTTAGTAAAGTTAGGATTAATTTCATTTGCTGTATTATTAATTTGATTATTAATTAATTTAATTATATTAAATTATAATTATTGTAAAATTTTTAGTTTCATTGAAATTAAAATTGTTGAGAATTGTAATGTTTGTCACAAATTTTCCTTTATTTGGCTTCCTAATAAAATTTAAAAAATTAATAATTTCTCTGTCATTTATATAGTGAATGTAATATATATATAATGAAATCAGTCTCTAACTGAAATTTTTTTTTTAAATATGTTTAAAAAAAAAAACACTGGAAACTTTTTCTTATTTTGATGTTAATTTGATTAGTGTTTGAAACTTTAGTCTGCAAATATCAGCCTCATGTTAAAAGCTTCTTTATAGCTATGATTTAGCGTTAATTTTCTTTGCTAATTGAATGCTTCTTAATATTATTTGAGAAACATTTCTTCTACTTTTCTTCGACTTTTTTCTGTACCTCTCTCTTTTAGTCAATTTTTTGCTTCATGATTATTTAAAAATATTTATCTTGTTGCATAAAAACTCTGTTCTAGTAGTGGTCATTCTTGTAGGATTCTTCTCTTACTGTCTAGATGTAGAATCTATTTTTCTTCCATCTGTATCATTTTTGTTTCCAGATTAGTTTTGGTGGCATTCTGCTATGTTAAATAGATGTATAGTGTTTATATGATAGATGTATATGTGATGTTATTCATTGTTTTTTAAAAATTTCTGAAAAATATAGTTTTTTACTTAGTATTTTTGAATCTCAAAAATTAGATGTTTGAATTGATTATAATTTTTTTCTAGGTAGCCATTTGCCTATTAAAAATTAAAATCAGAGTTTGTCTTACATTTGATTAAATTCTAAAATTTGAAAATATTTATTAGTCTGAGACCAACAGATTTTAGAAAATGCACTGCCATTTATTAGAGTTACATCATAATTATTATAACTCTAAATATATGAATTTTTAAACAATTTTAGGAGAAAAAAACTTTATTTAATCAAGTTTAAAATAAAAACTCTTGGTACATACTTACATCGATATAATTTTTTCAATTTAATATAAAACAGTCCTTGGTTTGCAACCTTACTTTTTGTCAAGTGTTAACTTAGCAATGAAATGGCAGATTGTATATTAGGTAGATGGTTAGCTCATTTCTCTTAAAAACAACATTATAATATCATCATTACAATTTTATAAATTTTAAAGAAGTTTGCTGAGTTTTCAAGATAGGCTTATTTGAGTCTCAATTTCATTAATTCTTTGTGAAAGAAAAAAAACCCCAGTAAAATTGTTGTTGCAGGCTACTTGAATTTTAATATAATACTATTTAAAGAGGAAAATATGTTATCAACTTCTTTACTATGTACACTGTATGTCCTAAAAATAACAGAAAATTTGAAAAATCTATTAAGTTATCACAGAAGAAGATAAAAATGTTTGGTTTGCTGGGTTCTGTTAGAAAACTTAAAATTTTTCTAAGTTTCAAAATTAGTCACAAACTTCATCAACAGATGGGGATGCAAAAATGACGAAAAGTATAAAGCAATACTTACAATATAGCAGCACACAATGCTGTTGCAAAATCGTGATGAAGTTTAAATAAAAAATTCCAACACCTGTGCAGATATTTTTATCGTCTTGAGCAACTATGCAGTACAAAATATTGTTTTATATTTTTTCCATTTACAAGTGCCATCTGTTGAACAGAATAAAGTAAACTGTATGTTTTTATCTTTTTCCATTTTTCCATAACAGATTTTTGAAATTGTCGGGTCATTTTTTTGGGTATTTGAAACTTAGAGATTTGTTTTCATTTATGAAAAGAAGTGTTTTCATGTTTTTTAAACTATTTAACATATCTTCTTAGCTATCAGATCTGGTGATTACTATATGTTTGAAGACATCTCAGACGATGATATAGATTTAGAGCTGTCTGCAAGGCACAAACGTAGTGTTGATGAAGATGATGAAGATTCCGCTGAAGTCAAAGAGAAAGGTCTAAATGCTGTGAGTTCAGTTTTTTTAACAGTGTCTAATAGTGATAAAATTTTCACTAGTGATAAATAACACCAGATAGTAATAGTTTTTCACTATATGAGTTGTAGTTGCTTTTATTAATATTTCTCTTTAAAAATAAATAGGGAACTCATTCTAAGTGCTTTTTTAGCATAATAATTTTGTGTATTTCATTATTGAATTCAATGCTAACTGTATTTGTGTTCAATGCTTGAATTGATTCTATTAGTATTGTTTTTGTGGCAACTTAGTGACTGCATATAATCCAGTTGCATAATTTTTTTTCCGAACTTAAAAAAAAGAAAGAAAAAAAAACCTTTTTTGCTCTGAATATTGCCATTTAACTTATTTTATTTCCGTTATCGAGTTCAGTAATTTGTTATGATAGTACATAATTCATTAAAACATTTTTGATATCTTAATGAAGGAATTCGGTTAGCATAACTTATTTTTAAAAGAAGCAGATTATTCATATGAAATGTTATATTATTAAATATTATATTATTCAATTATTTAAATTTTAAAAAAAACAGCAATTTTTGAGAAAGAAAAATTTGATTTGGGATTCAGTTTTTTTTTATATCATTTAATTTATGTACATATTTAAAATACATTTCTAATTGTAGAAACATTGGAAGTCTATAAAATTTTTTCTTTAGTATTGATGTTATTTTACAATTTTGAAATAATTTCAGTCATTATAGTAAAATTTTACCCTTTATATAACTTTTTTCAACAGGCTTATTTCTTAAATGCTTAACTTGTGCGTATAGAGTACCAAATATAAGAAAAAAGAAATAAAAAATAAGAAATAATTAAAACAATTAAGTGGGAATTGACCTTTTTATTTAAATAAAGTTAATCCCTGTCTTCAAAATAGTTTTATTGCTATGTTATCAACTTTACTTACATTTAAAAAAATTTCATTGCTTAATATGTAACCAATAAAGATGCCTATATTGATTTATTATCTTTCTAAATAGTAATTTAATATTTAGATTGTTATTGAAATACTTTTGATTTGATTACTTAGTGAGTAGAACAAGTTGGATTTATCTTATGTCTTATGAATTATAAGTTGAACTAGTTTAATTAATATTAATTTATAGGGATGATCAAATTAAATCCATGCAAAGAAATCCCATTATAATTTTTGTTTATTATTAATATTTTACATGCATTATTTTAGTAAGCAATCAGAAAAAAGTAACTTACATTTAACTTAAAACATGTGTTCTTAGATATTTTCTTCATATTATAATTATAAAAAAAAAGAAACCTATGTTATTTTTTTAATGTTATGTTATTCACTATAAATCTATGTTATTTTTATAATTTTTATTTATTTCACTATTAATATTTTACGTGCATTATTTTAGAAAACAATGAGAAAAAAGTAACTTACATTTAAATTAAAATAAGTGCTTCCTTAGATATTTTCTTCATATTATAATTATATAAAAAAAGAAACCTATGTAATTTTTTTTATTTTTGTGATAATTTATATTTAATTCATTAATATATTTTAAACTACTACTTACTGGTTGTTTTATTTATATCAAAAAAAGGAACAACTGCTTTTACAGTTTGACAACCAGAATGCAGTTAAATTACCTATATTTATGCTGACTATTTACTCTTGTGGTTTGAGATTAACTGTGAAAGGTTTCCATTTGTTCATGTTTAAAGTCAGGGGTCTGTCTAGGTTTTTCTGAGAGGTACCTATTTTGTGAAAGTTTAGACATAATTTGTGAAAAATTAAAAATTATATTAAAAAATCAACACAAAAATGTGGTAAAAATATGGATGTATCGTTTCTTAAGGGATACAAAAATAAAATTTTAAGAAAAAGTATTTTGTGAATCTACCGTTTTTCCTAAAATTGAATTTGTGAAAGTACCGCTAAACGGTAGTAAATTCGGCCTGGACAGACCCCTGAAAGTAGTAAAAAGTTACTATCACGATTGCAACGCTGGAATATGTAATTGGTATATGTAGTGTAAACAGCACAATTTTAAAGCTATTTATTTATATTTACCTTTTTTTGTAGGCAGTGTTATTTACTTTTTTTTTATTGCTTAATTTCTTAAAAGAATTTTTTTCATGTAATTTTTTTATAAATTAATTGATTCTGCATTTACTTTTTAATTTATTTGTTCATTAATTAAAAATTAAAAGTTAATTTAAAGCAAAAGTAGTTTTTAATTTATTTTTTAATTAATTAAAAATAAAAACATTTTTGTATATTCTAAGAATAAATAAAATGTGCATCTTATGCCCCCACTATTTACTTAAAGCTTCATGGATAGTAGGAATATTTATAATTGCCACATTCAGTTTAGCTTAAATAGATTCTTATAGAACACCCATTTCTTAGCAAGACTCTTAGAAATGACTTTTTTTTCGGTTTGCATCGTACTAGGCAGCTGTGTCAAAAATAATTAGCAATTTTAAAAATCAATTGAAGAAAAAGAGATGGTGTTAGATTTAAATGATATGCTGCAGTCTGTCTAGGAAACCATTTTTTCTCTCTCATCAAGTTTTAAAATTATTTGACAAAACTCATCAACAGCTATTTATCACTACTGACATAGAATAGCTATAAAATATTGCTTTAAAAATAACCACCTTTGCAGCAAACAATGCAGTATTGTCTAAGGACAAAGTTCATAGATGCCTGTAAAAGAACATTGTTTTATAGTAGTTTATAGTAACTTTGAAACCTGGTAATAAATACTAAATTATCTGGATTTTTTAGTAAAGCACAGCAAACTGCACATTTTTTTCTCCTCTCCATTTTTATTAACTGTTTTTTCACATTGTCAGTCAGTTTTTGGATGCTTGGTAAGAAAGAGTAGTTCAGTTTTTGACTATTCCTAGAATATAAACTTTTTGTTTCGTTTAATTTCTTAAAATAAAAAGACATGAAAGACATAAAAGAAACTTTTTAATAAAAGGAAGAAAAAAAATGCAAATAATTTGAATTTCTATCATTAAAATTGTCTTTTTGTTTATTAATAAACATTATTTTATTGAACTTATCATTCTATACTTTTTACGATATATTTTTTCTGGCAGTCATAAGGTTTGCTTAGCATGCATTTTGCATATTTGCTTTAAATTATTGCAAACTGCTTTTATTGTTTTATTTTATTATGCTTGATTGCAATTTATATTATTTTTGAAAGCTTTTGAGCAAAACCATCCGAGGAAACATAAAATTAAGTGAGGAACCAAGGAAAGAATCCGGTGAACCAGATGATATTGAAGATTCAAGCCAGTTATCTGCTATCGTTAGCGCTGATCGAGACGCCTTGCCATCTTCATCTCAGGTATTAGTATAGTACAAAAAATAATGTATTTGTCGAGCAATGAAATTTTGATGTTATGCAAAGATTTTACGCACCTAAAAATATTCAATTCAAATATTTTTTTTTCTAGCAAAAATCTCCAGATCCATTAACCATTACAAGCAGTGGCCCAATGATGACTTTATCTATTCCTAGTGCTACAACTACTCCTACATCCTCTCCCAAAGAAGAAACAGTTGCTCCCTTAAGTCCTCAAGATGTTAAAATTATTGATGTAGAAGAAATTAAAGAAGGTAGTTGGTTCAAAAGTTACTGAATACAGTCTTTAAAGCTTAGTAAAATGTTTGCATTCGTTTTTGTTATTCGGTGCGGTAACGATTTTTGATTTAGTTTTAATTTAGCTTTGTCTTTTTTAAAAACTTTCGTTTTTATGACATGGAAATGAAAAGGATTACTATTATATTTTATTCTTTTTTCCTTAAGATGTTAAAATTCTTGATGCGCTAGAAATTAAAGAAGGTAGTTGGTACAAAAGTTATTGAATACAATGTTTAAAGCTTAGTAAAATTTTTGGATATTCGTTTTTGTTATTTGGTGCGGTAATGATTTTTGATTTAGTTTTAATCTAGTTTTGTCTTTTTTAAAAACCTTTTGTTTTTATGACAAAAATGAAAAGGATTACTATTGGATTTTATTCTTTACTTTTTCTTGAAAATATGTTAATTAGAAAATTGAGATATATATATATAGCTGTTAGTCAGTTTTTTATTTATCTTGAATATTTCTTATGGATATTATAGTTTCTGATTATAGTTTTTTCTCTTTACGCCATACCTATAATATACCTTAGTTATGATTGTTTTTCAATAATGACTGAATTTATTTATATAGGAAAAATATTTATTAATGATTTTTAAAAAAAAATGTTGCTATTTTGCCATTGTAGATTTGGTATTTCTTTGATCTTATGGCCAAATATTCGGTAATCAGCTATTCGGCCATATCACTATTCTTAACATCCTTAGTTTTAGCTAAATCTTAATTACAGAGATTCTTTTGTTTATATTTATTGCAAGGTATTTATAAATAACTTCACTGACAAATATCCTTCATGGGAGTTGAAGATAATGGAACAAAATTTTATTCAAAAGTATTATATGATATACATTTAAGAAGAATAGTGTAAAAAAGAATTATTCATCATGGTTACAGTTAATTTCAAAATATTCATATGACATCTTTTTTTGAAAATCAATATCTGATCCACAAGGTAAAAAACTAATATGCAAAAGTAATTTTAAAGTTTGATCTTATATACTTTTAAACTGTATGCAGGGTGCGTAGCATTTTTAAAGAGTGCTTGAAGGTGCTTATTTTCAATTTTCGTTTTTTAAAAGCCCTTAAAGGTGCTTTTTTAATTGGGTGTTTTTAAAAAGTGCTTAATTTTTTCTTTTTCAAAATGTGATTTTTCCTTACTATGTTGGATTTTGCTTCGAATTATGCAAAAAGACACAGTTTACATTGTGCTCAACGTTTTCATAATTAATTCAACCCCAATCTATTTCGGCGTATAGTCAGTCCGTAGCGTATGAAAATGCCATTCATTTTACATGATTCAAAATTTAATGTTTTTTGACAATTGTCAAAAACAATGCCAAAAGGTTCTTTTTTTGACATGATGGTTAAAACAAGATAAATCCGTCGATTGTCGAAAACTTTCCAATTCTGCCTAATTATGATATTTTTTAAAGTGCTTAAAAATATTTTTTCAGTTTTTGAATAGTGCTTAAAAGGTGCCTATATTTTGTTGAATAATTTGGTTATGCACCCTGTGTATGCTTATGAGAAATAACGAAATCAGGAATTCGTTTTTTTTTTATAAATATTTAAGCTTTTATTCTTAAATTTATGTTATCTACAATGATTATATTTTAATGAGATTTAAAATGTTATATTCTATGTTTGGTAATTATTCATCACTTTTTCTGTTGAAATATATATTTATTGTATCTATTAATTACCAAAAATTGCAATATCCTAGTTTTATCCACTGATGGTTCCATATGTGGAGATAGATGTGACCTAAATGATTGTGCATAGCCCAATGGTTGAGTTGTACCTCTTCACACTCTCGTTCCACAGGTCCCATTTTTGGCTGGTCACTCGAACTTCTAATCCTGCACCCTAAAGCTCATGGTCACAGTAGGCCTCAGCCTCCCGTGGGCAGTCGCGCCACCGAGTTTAATTTAAATGATTGTAAACGTAGGAAATCGCTCTTCATTTTCTACTTATTCATTGTAATTAGAAAAAAGTTCTATTTTTTATGTGTCAAAACATGCATTTTTATCTAGTAATAGAAAAGTAACCTTTCTTACCAAATTTTTTTCTAAACTGAGAATGGGAGAATCAGTCAACCACAGTTGTATAAAAAAGAGTGAACACTTGGAAGCTGTAAAATAAAAACTACCAGTGGAATTACAACCAATAAAAACTATCTATTATAAACTGCCTTAAGAATGTTACCCTTAGACAAATTTGAATTGGATGACCCTTGATTTATTATTGGTTAAGTGTACCATGATCCAAAAAAGTTTGGAATCTTGGTTAGAGAATTAGTAATAGCTTTTAGAGAATTAAATCATATTAAGTATTTCAAAATAAATTAATCTTCATTGAAGTANTATTTAGATAAATCCTCTTTCTATGCCATATCATAATAATTCATTACTGATGAATTTTATATAGTAATTGGTTATTCAATATTTTGTTTTAAAATAGTTCTATAATGACCAATTAAAAACTCTAAATAATTTCTTGATAGATTTATGTTTATGATTTTTTGATCCCTTACTGGGTCTAAACTAAATAAATGGAAAATGATGAAATGTTAATTTTAATTGGTTTAAATATATTGTCTAGTATTTTTATGACTATTTTGTTACAGAAACTTTTGTTGAGAAAGTGAAAAGATGGTATTCGTTCTTTTGTGAATTCATGAATAGTCTTCTGATTAGTACTACCGCTAAATTGAACGCTGTTTCCAAGGATTATCGATTCATAGCAAGGCAACTCTCTAAAGAAAAGAAACTGCTGAAAGAAAGGGTAAAAATATTATCAAATTTAAGATTTTATGAATGTTTTGGCTTTACATTTTAATGAATTTGTAATCACTATTTTACTATTCAAAGGTTGCGTGGTATTTTTCTTTTTTACAGTTTATTCATAATGGCTCATTTGATATGGATGAAGCAGAAAACGAAATGAAGGCTAAGGAAGTGAATAATATTCCTGGGTAGGAAAATATTGATTTAAAATAGTTTATATTTTTTTCATTTAAATTATATATTTTATAGTATCTGTGAAATCAATACCATTTAAAGTAAGTTTTCAACCCAAAAAAGATGTTTTTGAAATCTGATTTTAATTGGAAGGAAATTTATTGTTTTAATTAATTTTTATGTAAACATATTCTTGATTGAGGTATTAGGTTTTTACGTATGAAATGTTGGGTTTTTTATTGTAATATTAAATAAGCATAAATTAAAAAAAAAAAAAATTTATCAAAGTAAAACCTATCACAATCTACTCATTTTTGCCAACATGTTACTAGTTTTTGGATACCACTTTCAGAAAAATTTGGTTTTCTGGTTTCAACAAAAGATTGAAAGTCATTTTGATTTTCTCTAGATGGGTGAATTTTTTATCATATCCAGTCAATGTGTTGAGCCTGGTATTTTAATTCAGCCAACTTAGATCAATTAAACATGAGGTCATCCGTTAGCATGAAGCAAAATGTTTTCAGTTGCCCCTTGCCGGTGGCTGCATTTGATGTAATTTCTGTATCATAACTTTAAGTTATGCACGGTACATCTTTGCTGTTATTGTTTTGCCAGCATTTAAAAATTTCTAATGAATTATTCCGACCATAAACCACCAAAAAGCAATCACTACAGGGTGTAGCAGTGCTTTTAATGTTTTTGAACTTTCATCTGCATCTGACCATTGCGTTAGCGATGCCTATTGTCATAAAGAATCCATTTTTCATCACAGGTGATAATTCTGTTCAAAAATGGTTCTCTTTTATTTCTTGGAAGCAAAGAACTGCAAAACTACTTTTTTTTATTTTGCTTTTTATTCAGTTACTCGAATTTTTAATTAGAATTCTATTACTGGATTAAGAATTTCAATTGCTTCAAAAACATATTAATCGCAAGGAAGAGTCGGACATGTTTCAATCACTCAAAAATTGGTGCTTATTTTCTAGACTTGTCAGAGGTGAATGAGACAAAATAAAAAGTGTTTGAAATATAAAACGTGAAGTTGTCAATAAAAATGGTAAAATAAAGGTAAGAAAAAAAACTGGGAAAACCACAGTAACTGAGAGAGAAAAAAAAGGTGAACATTTGAACAAAAAAGAATATCAGTAGCTGAGAGGGGCACACACTATGAAGAGATGTTAGGAATTATGTCATTAATAAGAGAATCAACATTCATATGAATAAATTCCAGAACATCAAGATGAGCTGAATTGACTGGAGTGGAAATAATTTTGGCATTGAATTTATGTCCAAGATTCCAAAAATGCAATGTGTAGCAATTGAGAATTTCTCGTTTCATTCTTCTTTTAGTATCAGTTTACTTCAATTTGTAGTTAAAAAAAAATTAATTTTTATTACCATGATCTATGAGTTAGATTTGCAATTTAATCAAAACCAATTCTAAACTAAACAATTATATTATGATATGCATTTTTACATTAAATTTTATTAGTAATTGCATGATTTGTTTTTTTATTCCATTTTGGAACTCATATTTAACATAGAGTTTATCATTAAGTAACATGGTTTTAAAATCAATTCATGTCAATTTATTTTACAAATCAACTGTTAATTATTTCTTAAATCCTTTCAGTAGCTCCTATCTAAAACATCTTTTCCCATATTTCACATAAAAATTTTTTTTCATGTTATTTATTCAATGGAAAGTAGTGCATAGCAGAGAATTTTCAGTATAATTTTTTCAGGGGCTGAAAATTAAAGTGTTTGGTAACTGATACTTTTTAATCATAAAAATGTTTCATAGAGCATGTGAAACTTTATAATTGATTAAGATGAAGCTAAATAATAGTTTTGAAACTATATTTATTTTCTAACTAATAGAAATATGCATTGTATTTCCCCCCTTTTGACAAAAATCTTCCTTTTTTCATTGATATTTAGATCCTCAAAAGACTTGAAGCAAGTTGCTGTGGTTATGAAGAAGACAAATTTAGACTTTTTAGACAGGTAATGAGTGATATCATTGAACAATTTAGTTTATAGTTTAATAAGTAATCCTTTTTCTTACGTTTCTATTAACTTTTATTTATTTTCTGATTTTAGTTGCGAATTTACATCATCACAAGATGTCCTGGAGACAGGTGCTAAAAAGCATTCGATCTTTGTGCGATTTCTTGTTGCATTTTACTTTGCTGCAATATCTCGATCTGAGCTTTTGTGTTATATGGTCATCATCCTTAATCAAATGAAATCTGCTAGCATCCTCTCTTTGCCTTTACCCTTGTTTGCATTCCTCTGGGGGACACTCTCAGTACCAAGGCCAACAAAAGCATTTTGGATTACTGTCATTACCTATACTGAGGTTTGAAATGATTTTTTTTAAAATTCAAATAAATTATTTTCTTTTTTTAATATTCCATCTTATGATTTTTAACCCATTGATACAAATGAGACGCCTGTGTCTTTTTTATATATTTTTCATAACCTGCAATTACAAACAAAATTTTTGTAAAAATATTTTTTAATTTTAAAAAACAGTCTAGTAGTTTCTAAGAAAATCTGCTGTATTATCGGAATTGTATTTGCACTAAAATATAAAATCCATAACAGGGGTCTGCTTAGAAGAAATTTGGGTCCGTCAACGCAGTGTTTCCCAACCTTTTTATCACCGTGGGCCTGTCGACGTTTCATAATTTTACTGCGGCCCGCTAGGGCGGAGAACGTTGATTGTTTATATTTTAGATTATTTTGATTATTAATTTTAATTTATTAATTTTAATTTAATTGTATTTAAACATGCCTTCAAAATAAAATACAGTTACACCAAAAAATAAATATAAAGTTTTTTAACATTTTAACTTACTAGAACGTTAAATCAATGAGAATCCTGAGCTTGTTTCTTTGCAATCAGACGGTTCCCTCCGGGGGTAATCGGAGACAATGACACCTGAAGTGTGTTGCTTATGTCCAGGAATTCAAACTAAGAATTTAACTAATCAAACTGTGAACTGGGAATTTAAATTCAGTTTCAATGAAATGGGAGGCTCAGTACCATTTGATCCACGGACCAGTACCGGTCCGCGTTAACTGCATTAACGGACCCTTCACAATATATCTTTTCATAAAAACGGACCCTTCACAAAGTATTTTAACATATAAACGGACCCTTCACAAAATAATTTATCTTTTAATCGTACCCTTCACAAATTTGTTTATCTTCATCATTGTTTTGTTAATCGAATAAACCCTTCCCAGGGGGGGAGGGGAGAAAGACAGATGTAAACGAACTAAGTTTTGTTTTGGCAGACGCTGCTTCCTTTATTCACCCGAAATGAATATTCTGAGTTCAGCTGTATAGGCTAAATACCAAATATTTGCATGTTGCATCTCTAATTCAGTAGCAGCAATTGCTGTTTATTTTTGAAAATTCAATTTCTTTTAATTATAATTTTACAGTGTTGAGCATAATCCTGTGTCTATTTATAATTTAAAAACTCCTTGAAAAAGTTTTTTGCAATAACCTGACCCTATTGCACAAATACACAAGAGCAGGACCCTGGTTGAAAGAATGTGACTTTATATTTATTTTATATGCACAAATTACGAGTAATTTTTTCACAATTTTACAAAAACAGGACCTTTTACAAATTGTCTGAACAGACCACTGTAAAAAGAAAGTAGTTTTAAAAGTTTTGGTGATTGGTGTTTGAGAGATTTTATCTTTAATGCAGAAAAAGACACCAGTATTTCATAACCATAAATTATTAAAATGTTAAATATAATATTTTTATTTTATTTTAATCTTAATTAATACAAAATAATAAAAACATGCGAAAACAAAACGTTTTATTAAAATTCTGCTTCAAAGGGTTAAGTTTTAGACCAAATTATAGAAAAAAATAAGTGAAACAAGGTTCCCTTTGTGTTGGGAAAACCCAGAATTACTGGGAAGTTTTTTGATTTTGAGCGAAAATTTTTAGAGCACATTTCAGGGAAAGAAGACGGACAAAAATGTAGATTAAGTTTTCTAAAAGTGAAAATTAAGCGTAATTCTTACGCATAATTATATAGTGAAGGCTATGTGTCTGATATGATTCTGTCAATAAACTATATAAATTTTAAAACTTTTCAGATTGTTATACGTAATATTACTCATATTTATTATTTATATACTTATGTATTATTAAATCTAATTGCTGAACCTTTTGTGTAATGAAATTTTAATTATTAAAAAACTGATATTTAAAACTAGTTTTATTAAAAAACTAAGTTTTAGTGTTTATCAATTATGAAATGTTGCTGGGTCTAGTAAAAATATGATTTGAAATATTGTAATAATTGTCTTTTAAGGGATTTTCTGAATCAGTGAATTGTATTTCTACTATTCAGAATCTTGAAAAAATTTTCTTTTACCCTTTGAACTCTGAGGAAATGTTTTTAGAAATAAAATCCTTATTATATTTTACTCTCATTATATATTAAAAAATGGTTAATAATTAATTGAAATTGCAAAAAATTTACAATCAAGCATTTGTAGGATTAATAAAAAATTATCTATATTCACATTTAATTATGAATTTTAACTTGAGTTTATAAGGCTTTTTTTATGTGACGTTTCCATAATTTTATTTACTTCAAATTGCTTTGGAAGCTTTATTATACATAAATAATCATGCATACAATAAAAAAAATTAATTATAACTAAAGAAAATATATATCAAAGGTAAATATCAGTCATTTATGTATGAAATTTAATTTATTTTAGGCTGTGGTTGTTTTGAAATATTTATTCCAATTCTACTTTTTTAATTGGAATTATCAAACACCTCCTCCTAATAACCCATTTTACCCAACCGTTATTCTTGGCATCAGAAAAGATGATAATTATGCTGTCTTTGATCTAGCTGTCTTATTGGTTGTATTTTTTCATCGGTTTATGCTGAAAGTAAGTGTTGTCATTCTTATATATTTTATAATATTTATCAGAGTACATCTTTTGTTTCATACATAATTTTACATATTTTAATAAGTATTTTTATTAAATTATGGTTGATTCAATTATGGAACATTTTATTTTATGCTTAATACTGGGTATCTGCACTTCTAAAAAGTCATGGAAAGTCTTGGATTCTGCGCTAGATCAAAATTTGTCATGAAAAGTTATGATTTTTAGTGATAAATACTCAAAATTCATGGAAACTCCTAATTCATCTTGGATTTTTAGCTATTGGAGCCCTTCATAATGTCGCATCTCAATTTTTATTCTCATGCAGAGCCTGATCTAAAAATGTGGGGGGCCTAGGTCAGACTTCATATATATATATATTGTAATTTGATAGTGTATGGATTGATGTTGATACTTATTTTCTTTAAATTAAATTAACATTATCTAAATTAACCTTAAAAGGCATTATTAAATATATTTAAATCCATTTTCTAATTTGTATGTTAGTTACTGCGAAGCATGTTTTTTTTTAAGTTTGTTTAATTTGTTTAGTCCTTTTTTTATTGCTTTGGTTTAAACTGATTTATTAAAAAAGTGTGCAAAGCAGTGCTCAGAAAAAGGAACAAAATATTTTTTTTTAAAAAGAAAGAAGGTTTTAATCGCTTAGAGGGAGAGATGCTCTTTCGACTTTATTTTGTTATAATGTATTTACATGTGTAAGTCATGGAAAGTGTTTGATAGAAGTCATGGAAATAATGGAAAGTCATGGATTTAAAATATCTAGACCTAGCTAATACTCTGTTAATATTTGGTCTTAAAAAAAATTTGATACAGAAAAATGTAATGTTTTTTGTGTCAAAATTGTCAGACGTTTTGCTACTGCTTTCTGAGGAGTTATTAATGGCAATAGAAGAATGACTTCATAAAATAAACCTTGAAATGTAAGACTGCATTTTATAGAATTTTATTTTGTTATATGAATCATTTTACATTATCCTTAAATTTTCCTGTTAAATTTGGCAGCAATATCAGTCTGAAACAGATCAGTCATGAATTACTTAATTTGAATTTTCAGATCCAAATACTTAAAAGCACAAAAAGTATATACTTACATATTTATTATTTACAATAAATAAATTTTCTAGAGCATTGGAACAATGTTATCAAAACCAAATTAAAGAAATAATGTAAAAAGTTATTGAAGAGGTTACTTAGCTGCAATTAGCTAAGCTGAAATTACTTAATGAATTTAAAAAAAAAATACTTAGCTAAAATTCTCAATGTTTAAATCTGCAAAATTTACTGTGGTTAATGAAGAGCTGCAGTTAAAAGAATTGTGTTTATAGTTTTTTAGTATTTATTTTAGTTTTGTAATTATTATTGGGATTTTAACATAGATACTTAAGATATCTTATGTTTTAGAGTCTAGGTCTATGGAAAGATACAGAAAAAAGTTTAATAATTCCTAATGTTGATTCTGAACCGGAAACTATTGCATTGAATGGAAAAGATGGAATTACTAAAGTAAGCATATTGAAATCATTTGTGTGCATGTAATTTTTGATTATTAAAAAAATTTTAATGTACTTATTTGTCTTCTACATAAAATTTAGCTTCAACATAATATTAGTTGAGTATTAGACATAATTATTGAATAAATATTCATGTATTGATAACAAAATAAGAAATAGTTTTGTCTACAATTAGTTAGATATTCAGAACATTCTAAAATATCTATAAGATTTTTTTTTTCAGTACGTAACATAAACCTTTCATTCAGGGGCTCTTATCTATAACTATTTTCTATGCCTTTAAAATATTTGCTTTGGGTGTAAGAAATTGACTATTAAAAAATTATTCTAATAGATTTTCTTTAACCTCACCGGTTAACTCTACTTATTTAATTGATAATTTTTCTTTGTATTTATTTTATAGAAATTGCCCAGCATTCCCGAAATTAAAAAGGCTGCATCTGAGGTAGATCATGGAGAAAAACACATTGATGAAACTGGTGATACTGCCGTATTAGTTGAGAGTCCAGATGAGTGTTCTGACGATGAAGGTATGATTATTTAATGTATTTTTATAGTTCCCTTTCATTGTAAGAATCTAATTATTCTGTTTAGTTTGCCGTTATAATATTTTAAAATTTGTATCAACTGTTATAAATATTTACTTTAGATGATTTATGTTTCTGTGTTAGAAAATATATCCTTATTTATCTGAAAAATAATAAAAGTTTAATATTTGGAAATAATGAATTTATGCCTAGGTATTTAAGCCTTTTTTCTTCCTTTAAATATTTTTCAATCAAAATCAAAGTCTATTTTTATGGTGAAATGTTTACATATACAGAGTGTTTAGTAATCACTCACTTCTCCCCTTAATATATATTTTTAGAATCGGCATCTAAAGTGAAGTACATACCTAGAATCACATAGTAATATTTAAGCTAAACTAAACTCAGTAGCGCAACAGTCCATGGTGGGCCAAGTCAGTCCATTCCCTTTATATAAATTGATTGCTTCCTCATTATATTTTTAATAAATATATGATAAATTTAAATTTCTATATTGCCAATATGGTTTTTAAAAAAATTAAATTTAGTTTTTTAAAATAATTCTTAGGTTTAGGATAATTTATTTCCAACTGATTAAATGCTATTTTCCTTAATAGTTGAATTAGTACTTTTAATATTAATTAAAATTCTCCATGTACTTCCATTTTCATATTATATGATATATCTTGGTATTTTGTTTGATGTATTTACTTTTGTAGGAAGTGAGATTTCAGCTTATGAAGAACTACCTCGAGTTGATATTTCAAAAATGTAAGCTTCTTTTATAAAATATACTTAATTATTTATGCTTGTTACTTTTTTAGTTTAATTTTATGTTAGAATTGCACACTCCGTGTTTCAATTGCTTTCTTAGAAAAATTTAAAATCTCTTTATTAGGTAGTTAGTGTTTAATTATAAAATTGTTTTTGATACTTTTATGACTCAATTTTAAAAATTTTAACTAAAAAACTATTGGTTTTTGTGTATATGGTCTTTCTGCAATGTTGCTTTAAAGTTAGATTCACATTATTCAAATAAAAAAAATGTAAAGTTTGTTGCACATTTCATAGTTTTACATATCTAAATGCATCAGATCTTTTTTTGCTAGTTGTTTTCACATGAAATTTTTATAATATTTAAAAATAGTTTAAAAATGATTTTAATATTAACTTCTTTTGCTAAGAAGATAGTGATATTTATTTTTAGATTACAATCTTGATGTTAATACCAATACATAAGGAATGCAGCTATACACAAATCAGAAAATGATTATGCCTTTATATTGCATGTATTGTTAAATACATTTAAAAAACATTTAATGAAATACGGAATGTAAAAAAAAGTTTGGAAAGGGAAAATATCTCGAGTCATATACATTTGTCAAAAAAGTGAAAATAGACGATTCAATATTTTTTTAAAAAGAAAGCTATCTAATGAAATCAATTCGATCTTCCAGCCCACCTTCTTGGATGGGATGGGGCAACTTAGAAATATTAAATAAAAATAAAATTTTAGAGAAAAAATTTTGAAAATTTCTGTAGAAAATAAAAACAAAATTTTTTACTTCCTGAAGGAAAATTCTTTCTTCAAGAACTCTGTAACGTTCTGCAACAATGTTGCCTTGACTCCTTCTCCAGCACGTGGGGGTGGAAGATCAATTTGGATCTCATTGTTGAATATTTTAAAAAAAATATAGAATGCGTTTGTTTACACTTTTTCAACCAATGTTTATTTCTCAAGGTTTTAACCATGTCTACTTTTTTTACATCTTCCATAGTTTGAAATGATATATTTTGTTGAACATAGGTTTAAAAATTTTCATTCTTTTATTACTTTCACAATTTTTTAAAATTGATTTTTTTTAATTCTAAAATATTATACTGACTTATCTGAGAAATTTTGTTTTTCAGTGTGGGGTCTGTTGTGGATCCTATTAAAATGTTTTTCTACCACCTCCTTTATCCTGAATATAGAGTGACAGTTGATGTCTATGCTTATATGTTCTTCTGTGATTTCATTAACTTTTTCATAGTCGTTTTTGGCTACTGGGCTTTTGGAGTAAGATTGTGATTTATATTTTAAATTATGTTTTTTTAATTGATATTTTTTGATGAAATTAAATATTTATTATTATTTCATGAATGAATCTTGAAATAGTTTAGGCCAATTTAATTATTAAAGTGTAATTTTTATGGTGTGAATGGCCTACCAAAAATATGCTAATCAATTGAAGTGTACTTTGGCAATTTTCAAAAAATCATTTATTAATAAGGCTGAACAACAGCAGTTATTTTTAAATTTTGAAAAATATTTATTTAATGCTAATGTTTGTTCACTAAAGTAATTTATTCATAAAGCAAGTATTTGTTTATTTGTTATTATTTGTTAATTAATTTATTTGTAAATGAAGGAATATATGTTAATTCAGTTGCAATGTAGTTTAGGAAGAAAAAAAAAATTAATGGCTTGGATTATCTTTATCATCAACATATATATATATATTAAATTTTTCATTGAAAAGTTGTTTAAATTCATGCATCCCTATTAATCAAAGCAATTTTTTTAATGAACTGTAAATAAATATCTGCCTATTAAGTTGGATCATATTTTTATTAAATTCTTTAAATTTGACTTGCAGACAGAGGGTTCAGAAAATGTGACTTCCTATTTTGAAGAAAATAAGGTAATAAATATATGTTTATTTATTCTTAATATAGCTATTTAATAAATTTAAAATGCAATTATTGAATAATAAAAACAAAATTTGAACCTATATTTTTTTCTATTGGTTTCAGTTTGTATCAGGTCTTAAAAACTTTCTCAGGTCTTAAGTTATGTTTTATAAGGCTAAATAACTGCATCTGCTTTATCTATGTTTGCCTTACCAATGAGTTTATCATTGTTTTAAATTTAAAAAAATTAATAATCTTTCAGATTTTAAGTGGTAATGATTTAGTTAAGATATATGTTAGTTTTCTTTAATCTTTTAGGAGGTATAGTGAATCTCTAAATATAATTTTTCTATCATTTTAAAACAAATATAATGTAGTGAAATATTTTTAAAAAAAATCAATTACTCAGTCATTTAAATTTTAAACTTTTGTACAAACTTGTGCGAAATATGAGAAAAAACATTTTGTTTTAAATTAAAATAACCAAATTAAGGTATGAGAGATGCTAGATTAAACACTTAGGGAGTTAAAATTAACTATGAATCATTTTAAAACTTATACAGCATTTTTATGCTATTAGTTTAGCACTAGTTCTGAATAGAGGAGGAGCTGCTTTTTACTTTAAAATATTGGTAAAATTATTGATGCTATTAAAGCCTGTTCCGTTAGATTTTTATCAAACATTTTGCTGAGCAATTACTTACGTAAATGTTTTATTATATTTTTAGGGTTAACAGTTAAATTAAAAGTATATTTTATTTTCTAAAAATGGATTAGACAACACAATGAAATGCATTATCTTTTAAATTATTGCATATTACACATTAATATTTTTGTTTTTAATTCCATTATGCACTCTTATAATTCATTGTATACTATTTCATTATTTTATATTACTAATAATTGGAATAAGCTGTTATGTTAAACTGTTAAAAGCTTTTTGATTGTGAATTATTCTTCTAAACAACATATGTTTAACAAAATGTGATATAGTGTATTTTTATTATAGGTTCCAATACCTTTCCTAATCATGCTAATTGCTCAATTTGCTACCATTGTCACAGACAGAGCTTTGTATTTAAGGAAATATATTTTAGGAAAGTTAATATTTCAAGTCATTCTAATTTTTGTAGTTCATCTGTGGATGTTTTTTATTCTTCCTGCAATCACATCACGGTAAGTTCTTAAAATGGTTTTACAAACAATTTGTCGCCAATAATAATTTAAAAATTTTAAAACTTAGCGCTCATTTTCTCTATCCATTTATAAGCATCATTCTAATCACATAATCTCTGCAGAGTAACTTTTCAAGTTTTAAAACTAATGATTTATGACATTTCGAAATTAGAAATAACAAGTCAAATTATTTAGGTATTAGCTTAGTAATTATTAGTGAAAATAATAATTATCTTATGAAGAAATGTTAGTAGCATTTGTATTAAAATGTAAGTTAGTATTGCATTTAATTTTAAGATTTTGATTTTAAAAATATTTTTTTTGCAGCAATTTGTTCCCTCCATATATATATATTTTTTTTAAGTAAAAAGTTAAGAAGTTTATTTCTTACTATCACAGTTAGTTGAATATGATCAGGCTACCCAAACAGATTTTAATAGTTTCTAAATTTTAATCCTCTTTTTTTTATTTGCAAACAATATAAGTTTATATATAAATGACATCAATTTGAATGATCAATGTAATTTAAATATCCAAAAAGTAGTTTTTAAAGTATTAACATAAAATAATACTATGTTGTGATATTTTGAAATAAATAATTAGTGAATAATTATTTAAAATTCAACTGTGGAATTTAGTTTTTTAAATGTAATACTAGTTTTTATTGTAAAATATGATTTATGTCTGCAATGAATCATGACAATTTATGTTGCCATTAATTTTTTAATTCTTATTTTTTATTTTAGAGATTTTGCAAATGCAGCTAACTTACCTCCAAAGATGTGGTATGTAATAAAATGCATTTATTTCCTGCTGTCAGCTTATCAAATAAGGTCTGGCTATCCAACTAGAATATTAGGAAATGTCTTTTGCAAGAAATACAATTATGCCAATCTCATCCTCTTCAAAGGGTAATTATTATTAAATTTAATGAACTCAATTACATTTTAGTTATTTTAACAGTACTCTCAGTTACATTTGAAAAATCTTAGCTATTTGCCAAATCTACAGAACAGAACCAGATGAAATAAATATTAACAAAATAAATTCGCTCCCCCTCAGTAAATGTTCTGTATACAATTATCAGCTGTGGAAACTTAAAATAATTATTATCTAGAAATTTTAGAATATCAAGGGAAAAAAAAGAAATAAAAAGCTCTATTTTGTGGTTTAGTACATTAATATATTGAATTAATAAAAAAATATATTTCTGATGAAAAAATCATATTAAAGATTTAATTATCATTAAAAAAATACTTTTTTGGGGTACTTTAATATATCTAAAACTTTAATGTGCTTCAAAATGCTTAATTTTTTTCTGTTTTTCTTAGATACACGCATCAAATGTGCTCTTAAAATTGTACAATTCCCTAGTGGGGCAGTTCACACAAAAGGCAGCTCACATAAACGGATATTATATTATTAAAATTTGTTATATGTGTTCGACTCATATTTTTTCCCCATAACATCTAACTTCCTCTAGCAGTCTGCAGAATAAAGGGGCATGGTTGTAACGAAGTGTGCCATGCCATATGCAATTAGATACAGTTTTTTTAATCTTTTTATAACCGTCGTTGAACAGCCGACCCAATTTTTGGGTTTACGACTACTAATGTTCAACTCCATAGCCTTGTAATTTTGAACCCAATTCAGAAGACAAGGGAACTCCTGGATCAAGTATTAGGAGATACAGTAGGGAACCGATTATCCGGAACGATCGGGACCATCGCTGTTCCGGATAACTGATTTTTCCGGTTTTATGGATCGCTACAAAAAACCGTTTTTTTTATTGTTAAACCCAACTAAAAAAATTAATAAATTGGAAATCTTAAAAAGAAGAAAAAACGATGAAGTAATACACTAATGATTATTTCCAAAACGATGGTACGGTAAACATCTTTCAAAAAAGAAAGAAAAATTCTAAAATCTTCTGAGGAAAAAAAAATTTTTTTTTTCAAAAATGGCGGCAAAATTTATCGAATTTCGTTCCGGTTTTTTAGTTTTCCGGTTTTCTGATTTCCGGATAACGGGTTTTGTACTGTATTTGCCTTCATGGAGGACTTTCTAACAGTTGGGCTGAAAAGTTCGTAGGCTAACATAGAAAAAAAATTTTTTTTGATAAAATTTCATTTTATTATTTTATATAGTTTCCTTCAAGGGCGATACTACGATTATAGTGGTCGTATAATTTTTGGATATCATTTTTATTGTACGATTTGTCTTTAGCCTCAAAATAGGCCTTAGTTTCTGTGATTACTTCTTCATCGGCGCTAAATTGCTTTCCAGCGACCATTCTCTTGAGGTCTGAGAACAGGAAAAAGTCGTTGGGGACCAGATCAGGGGAATACGGTGGATGCAGAAGCAATTCAAAAACCAATTCATATAATTTTGCCATCGTTTTCATTAACTTGTTGCACGGTGCATTGTCTTGATGAAACAGCACTTTCTTCTTCTTCAAATGGGGCCGTTTTTCTGCGATTTCGCAGTTCAAGCGCTCCAATAACGCTATGTAATAGTCTCTGTTGATGGTTTTTCCCTTTTTAAGATAGTCAATGAATGTTATACCATGAGCTTCCTAAAATACTGATGCCATAACTTTGCCAACTGACTGTTGCGTCTTTCCGCGCTTTGGAGTTGGTTCACTCGTCTGACGGTCGATTGGACAGTGGTGCGAAATTATGGAGCCGTGTTTCACCCATTGTCACATATCGATGCATAAATTTGGGTTTATTACGATTAAACAGCTTCAAACACAGCTCAGAATCATCAATATGTTGTTGTTTTTAGTCAATTGTGAGCTCGTGCGGCACCCCCTTCGCCTAGAGCTTTCGCATACCCAAATATTCATTCACGATATGTCCAACACGTTCCTTTGATATCTTTAGAGTCTCAGATATTTTGATAAACTTCACTTTATGGTAATCTAAAATAATTTTATGGACTTTTTTGATGTTTTCGTCGGCAACTTCCTCTTGGGGCGTCCACTGTGTGCATCGTCGTCGGTGCTCATTTCGCCTCGTTTAAACTTAGCAAACCACTTCTCAATGGTTGATTTTCCTAGTACAGGGTCCGAATAATGTTTCTCAAGACAAGCCCTGGCTTCAAGAGTATTTTTTTTTTTTTTTTTGCTGAGAAGCAATACTTTATGAACACACGAAATTCCTTTTTATCCATTGTTTTTAAACTATCAAAAGTGTCTTCACTAAAAATACTATATCTCACAATCTAATAGTTTGACAGCTGTCAAATTTATACACGCATGTTTCGAAGGTTAGAACTAACTAAAAATTATATGTATTTAATAATAGTAACCCCATCTATGTGTCAGCCTACGAACTTTTCAGCCCAACTGTTAATGGAACTAACCCTCATTTGCGTTACATGGAAAGGAAGAACACGAGAACCTCCCACGGTAAGCCTGACGGTAAGGGGACTCTAACCCATGATCTGTCAACCACTGAGGATATTTCACGTCAGTGCAAGCCGGATGCGGAATTCATATCGACCAGCCATCGCCGGATCGAATCCGGTTCACCTCATTGGAAGACAAATGCTCTATCCCCTGAGCCATCATGGCTCTAGATACAGTTGTTGTAATTAGAAAGTCAATAGTCTCTTCCAAGTTCTTTCCAAAAGGAAACAAATAGTTTTGGTTATTCGTTTCGTCACCAAAGGAGGCATGATCATGAAAAAGAATGTTCCTTGATCCCTGGTTAGGATCAAATGAGAGATCTTTGTCTTTGAATCTGGATGCTCTTATACCATGGAAAAGGTTGTACATCCTTGTCCAGGGAATATTAGGAAGCTTTATTTAGTTGCTGCTGCAATCTAAAAGAGTGAGAATCAGAAAAGGGAAAATACTTCGCATTTTTTATGAAACACTTAGAGATAGAGGCTGTGATGGCATTGGTAAATGTAGCTATGATAAAATATGGTTATATTCAAATCGTGTAAAAAATTTGCTTTACAATCAATAATGCTCATTCATTAAAGTATTTTACCTTGTTATAAAAAATATATAGTGATAACACATTGATTTTTTTTTTGTATTTATCAGGAGTGGAAAAAAATTGAACATTTCTTGTAGTACTTTTGAATTGTAATAACTCATGTAATTACTTCTGAAGGCAGTGTAGTATGAGATAAATACAAAGTAGTTATAAATTTTTGAACTCTTAGGCACTATTTAAATGTTTTTATAGCCATGGTATCATGTCATCTACTACCTTTTTATTTTTATCCCTTTGACTATTATGCTAACTGAAGACATTCATTTAAAACTTTCCTTTATGAACCCAGATTCCTCGTCTAATTATATCGAGAAAAGCCAGTTCACTGTGTTCAAAAGCATCCTTGTTCTACACTAATCTGCTTTTAGATACTAAACAAACTGTCTATTTTTTTGAAGCTTTTATTTTTCTCCATTTAAAGAAGGGCATCAGAAAATACTTGACGTCTATCATATATTTCTTCGTAATTTTATAGCTTATTAGGACTTGCTCTTGATTGTCACTTAATTTTAATAAATTTTTATCTTTTTTTCATAACTTTATAATCTTTTTTTTGTAATATGTTTTTTTTGTGTTTTTTTTTCCCTGTGTTTGTTATTAATTTTTTTAAAAAACTTTCACAGGTATATGATTATACCATTTTTGTATGAACTGAGAAGTTTGATGGATTGGATATGGACAGATACAAGCATGAATATCAGCAACTGGCTGAAGATGGAAGATGTTTACTCCAGTATATTTGTGTTAAAATGCACAAGACGAGCTGAAGCAGACTACCCAACCCCGAGGGGGGCAAAACGGACTGCCCTCATTAAATATGGAGTTGGCTGTTCACTGTTATTTTTCATTATACTCATAATCTGGTTCCCACTGTTACTGTTTGCTTTGGGGAACACAGTCGGACGCACCAACCTGCCAATAAGCGGCACATTTGAACTGTCTATAACCGGTTACGAACCCTTATTTAGAACCACAGCTCTGAAAGGGGAACAGATCAAACCCTTCAATGATCGCCAGTGGAAGGAACTTGAAGGTGCTGTTGCCGAACTAGCTGATCCCTCCACAACAAGTTTCTTAACTGGTTATAGTAGAGAGGATACTGTAGTTGTGGAACTTAGTAATAACTCCACCTCAATCTGGACCATCAGCCCTCCGAGTCAAAATGCTTTGGTGGAAGAGCTGCAGAAAGTGAATTCCACTGTGAAAATGACTCTTTCGTGGTCTTTTATGAGGAAGAAAGAGAATCATGGGACAGATCCCGAAGTAAAAGATCAGAAAGAACTTGTTTTGACTGATCCTCAAAAGAAAAATCTCGCTGCAGCACTCAGTGTCAATGCAGGCAATGCCACAACTATTCCTGGCTCCATTCCTAAGGCTGTCACTATAACTGAGTTCTTCCCGAACTTTGTGAAAATTCCAAGCTCGGGAAGTGCTATAGTGGTTGATAAGTTTTATAAAAAGAAAAGTAAGTTATGTTTTGTAAATTCATATGAATTCTTGTTGAGTTTTGGTTTTAGTGCATTCTTACTGATTATTCAGGCATCAAAATTTTTTGGATTGAAAGTGTTTTAATATCATATGGTTTTAAATTTACAATTAATCGTCTAGTCCTTTTTCTTTGATAATTAATATTTTTTTTCTCAAAAATCTTATTTGAGTGGAAATCAAATTCCATAAATATTATTCCTTTAACTGCTAGTACATTAGTATAAATATTTCAGACCATTTAAAATTATACATTAAGTTATATCCTTTGCCAAACATTTAAGTTTTAACTATTCTTTACCATTGCAGTCAGTTTTTTTTTGCGATAAATTGTAAAATGGGGATTTTTCGATCAGTTGTGTCTGTTCATTAATTCTCTTTAATAGAATTTCCAGAAACAAGTCAGAAGAGTCCTTCACCATATATTTCTTGTAATGATCTTGTTTTAAAAGAGCTTCATTTACAGGAAAATATCTCACAGTTAATTCAATGTTAAAGAGATTTTAATCCATGATCAATCCACTGTTGAGAATATTTAATATTAGCACTGTGGTCAGTACAAGCTAAGATCAGTATGCGAATTCACCCGTTGTCACAAGTGTTAGAAACTGATTCCCCTGATTAAGTACACTGTTTCTCTTGAGCCATCCTGACTCTCTTACTTATAAATAATAATTTTAGGTTCAAGTGTGAAAAAAAAAATCTTTATATTACAGGTTCAAATTTTTTTTTCTTGACAAACTACAGCCCAGAATAGGATTTTTCCATCAAAGTTTATTTGATACATGTGTTGCTTTCAATTTGTCACGTCTAATGTTTTTAAATCTTTCTCCACATCATCAAGAAATCTGAGTGGAAGTTTTCCCAGTTTTAATGTGTTGATGTTGATTACGGTTAACAGCTTTATGTTGCTGTAACCCTCTAATCTAAATAAGGACCCACAGTGGACTGATCGTTCAGGCACGGTTCCCGGCAGATTACCGAAAGTGTGCGGGTGACGGTCTACTTGGATCAGTCTGTGTAGGGACTGAGGGTGTGCGGTATTGGTCATTGTTAAACTGTTCTACCTGAAAGTGCTTGACTTCGCGTATAGATCGTCGAGCTACCGAAGTGGGAGTACCATCCCCTCTGCAGAGCATCAAAATTTTGATGGCATGTCTTCTGATCATCCTCAGGGATGCTTTCCAGACCGTCGCCAATAGCCCATTGTGCAGCTCTAGTGTGGCATAAATGAACTACAACTAATCTAAATAAATGACCAAGATACCTTATTCAGTTTGACGTGATGACTATTACTCTGTCCGGTTGTTTATATTTATTATTATTATATTGATTATACAAGCTTATACAAATTCAAAATTTTGTAACCTCCAAAAGTCAGTCTGAACTTATATTCGACGATCAACATTGAGACTTAATAATATCTCCAAATAGATGAATTGTACTGTAAGTTCATAATAATTTGTTTTATTTATATTTTTCATGTCTTGCATTTATTTCTGAACTGAATCATTTCTATGAATCCAAATGCTCTATATGCATTTTTATTTTATATCCTTCTAATATTATGTTTTTCTCTTTATAGCTGATAAAAGCAAACGATTTTTTGGTCCCACAGAGTTTCGAGGTTTGAATTTATCCATGTGGACTGGTGATATGCTGAATACATCTGAGTCATTAAGCACTACCATCTCACATTACATAGAATGGTGGGAAGTTCGAGATGTCTGTGATATCCCTCCTTACTCAATAAGTGGAATTAATAACTGCGATTCATTGCGATTAGTTGCCTTTAGTGACAAAGCCTTCCCTACTGAATTATCCATTATTTCTGGATATGGGTATGATTGTTAATTTCTCATAATTGTTTTTGTTACTAGAATAAGTTGACATTATAAAGTTATTAATTTTAAAAGCAAGCTCATTAATAAAGATAATATTTCTGTATAATCTGTTTTCTTAACCTAATAACTTCAGAGAAAACTGAAAAATTTGTTAAAGTAGAAAGTAAACAGTTAATATTATTAAAGTAAAAGCTAATATTTGGTAGTTTCTACTTATTGTACATAATTACAATTTTCTTTATGTTTTCAGGATTGTGGGCCTCTACACCACTTTTGTTCTTGTTGTATCCCGTGTTGTGAGAGGATTTGTGGCAGGCACTTCCTCCAATATCATGTTTGATGACATGCCTTACGTTGACAGAGTGTTACAGCTTTGCATGAATATTTATCTGGTGCGAGAAAGTGGCGAATTCACTCTTGAGGAAGATCTGTTTGCCAAGCTGATATTCCTGTACAGGTCTCCTGAAATGCTTATAAAATGGACCAGGCCACCAGAGCTTGAGGTTGAAGCAGGCGATGAAATGCCGAGATTACCAGGATTAAGGCCTTGAAGGTAAAAATTAATGTAGTTTTACCTTTTCACTACAAATCCCAAATTCCACGGGCAATTTAGAGGTAGCAAAGCTTACGTGACCTGCAACCCAATCTATTCTCGTTCTTGATTTCATTTTGGCTCTTCTTTGACATTTATATGTTTAATTAAATCTGGGTTAAACAGATGGCATTAGTTGTCCATATAGAAGCATGTTTTGCAGCGTTTTGCTTATTCTTTTAAAAGCTAAAGATGTCTGGTAGGAAGCGTTTTGCGAATGATATAACTTACATTCCTGACAATATATCTGACACTAATAGCAGTTCTGACTCCGATTTAAAGTATATTAAAGATAGTTATAGCGAAACTGATTGTTCTGCAGAGAGTGATGAATCTGAAGTTCCATTTTCTGTTCAAAACCTTTTATCTTTGCCTATCATAAAATAAATCTTAATTTAACAAAGATTAATTTTCAAAATTTTGTATTTACCTTGATATTTTTAAATTTTCATACAATCTTTTTTAATGATCTTATTCCATATTGAAAAAGAAACTCTTTTGCAAAATTTTTGTATATTTTAATCTGGGATGTATCAGGTACCCGACCACACTTTATTTACCTAGTTATTAATCAAATCCAGTAAAAAAAATCTCATTGCTGGTATGGGTATCCAGACCTGGTTTTAGACGTCAAAACTCAGTTTTGAGTGGTCGAAATCTGCCTATATATCTGGTAACCCAAAGCCGGGTGACACTCATTTATGTTCGACGCAACCATATTCTGATTTAGAATAAGCATGTTTACTACTCGTTAGGTCAATAAATTCTATTTCCAACCAGTCTGGTTAAAGTTCTCTTATCATTAGATTAACTATGGGAGGTTTCGTAATTATTTTTACTGCGTAATGCAAATACATGTTAGTTTCACAGAAAATGTTTTAATGAAAGTAAATTTTCCCCCCTGTTTGTTGCTTAATCTAAGGGTTACTTAATCTTTTGGGGCTTCAAAATTATGTGGATACGGATATTGAATTATATCATTAAGGACAGCAAATCTGCTATATAAATCTTCTGTTCAACATTGGTTATGAGATATTTCTCACTAAGCATCAAAAACTTAAAAAGATTAAATTAAAGTAGCTCTCATTGTTTTTAAATGATATTAATTGTTAGATGATGATTAAAAATTAAATCCTGATAGTTAAAACATTTTTCATTTAATATACGGTCATTTTGTGAAAACTTTTGTAAAATATCCTTTGTTTAACTGAAAAAACATTAATAAGCGCTATTGAAAATTTAAGTTATATGCAAAATTTAACTATAAAGTCTACTTTTAGTAGATGTCTTCAGCTAAAAATAAAAGTTATAAGTTAATTATTTTATATCTAAACAGCAATTGCAAAATTCTTTTAGAATTTTTTTAAAAATTCAAAAATAGAAACATGTTTTTATTTATATAGGCCTAAGAATTATATCTTCTAAAATATTTTTTATGTGTACGATTTTTTTCTTGTCTTGTGTGAATGTTATAATACCTAGTCAAGTAACTAATAAAACTTTTGTTGTGTATCACTAATTGGCCGAGTAAAACATTCATTTTTTAACGAAATCTCGGACCTCATACATCTTTAGTTTTAATTTGTAAATATATGGGAGAAAAATTAGTAATAAAAAATTTGCAATTTTTGAACATATTTAAAAAAAAATTACTCATCAAGAGGATTAATGTATTTTGAAATTTTGGTTTTCTGAAAAAGAACAATTATTTGACTTTAGACCCTAAATATAAAGTATTCAATTAAAGTTATTAATTTTTTAGTCATATTACCAATGCTTTTCTTTACTTTCTTCAAAATAGACTATTACTTTTCATTTATTTATTTTTTTTTATCTTCGTTAACCAAATTACTTAAGAACTAACACATGGCTTACTTGCAACGAATTTGTTTTTTGTTTTATTTGGCTGCATATAAAAAAATATGCCTAATATAATCATTAAGAAAATAATTCTGCACCACTTTAATTTATTCAGGTAATCACATCATTATAGTAGTACTTTTCAAATAAAAAGTATTAAAAATCAATTTGTATCTAAGTGAATAAACCACAATTTTTATTATAATTTCAGAATTAGAATACACACTTTCAACTAACATATTTATTAATAAAAAAAAAAAAGTTTCTATACTTTCAGATTGCAGCATTTCACTTTCAATTTCAGCATGCTCTAAGAAACTTAATTAATATGATCTTTATGCTCCTTTTGTGATTATTCAGCCTGTAATTTCAAAGATAATATTTAATTAAAGACATTTAAGATGGTTTTTGATTAAGGTAATTTTTAATTTTGATAATTTATAGTATTTTTAAAAATATACTTCTGTTGTTACGAATGCTACTTGCTAATGCTAGAAAGCCTTACTGCGGTAACACCAAACGAATTTTAGGCAGAGGGGTGCTCTTCTTGTTTTTCAGTGGCGCCATCTATGGCCAAGAATACAACTTTATCCCACATATACTTCATAGCCCGTTTTAGAGGGCGGACTTATACACACACCCACATATCGTTATTCTGACCTGAACCTGAATACGATCAATCTTCGATTCAGTACCCCCAAAAGTATTGATTTGCCATGAGAACTTGGAAGACTTTGTGACCCCAACAGATTTAACGTGCACCAGTCAATATTTTATGCACATTTTATCTGTAGAATTCAAATGCCCTACCTTTCAGTCATGTGCCAAATGTTTTACCCGTCCCCTGAAAAAAAAATATATATAATTTTTATTTGTTAGTCTGTAAAGTTATAAAGAATGATTGTTTTATTTTCTAAATATGACATTTAATGAAGTAAAAAAATAGTTTGATTTTTTTGAAGTTATAATTTATCAATACAAATATGACGGTAGAAATATTTGTTTGGTCTTATTTGTATCCTTTTCTTTTTAAGTAAAACAATCAATTTTCAGTCATAAAAAGTAATAATGATATTTTTATATATTTTTAGATGAACCTTGAAGGTCTAGAATTGAATTAAACTCTATTTATCAAGAACAGTTTCCATTGTTGAATTGAAATTTCGGTTTCAAGTGATTGGAAATCTAGTCAAACGAAACCTATTCAAATCTGTGATCATCAAATGTTGAAGATATAGACGGAGAGAATAATTCTTTTCAAACTTTATATAAAACACATTCATCATCATTATCATCTGTATTATTTGAATTATATTTCACCCTTGAGCTATACTTTGAATAATTAAATCAACATCTATAATTTGTTCCAGGTAACTTAAATATTGCTGATATGTCATTCAGAAGTATGATATAA